CTGCGCCATCAATCAATTAATTGAGTTCGAAATATTGCAATTAATTGCCCCCACAATCAATTATTCGGTAGGCCTGGCAAAAACCATTCATAGCTTTAGAATGACGTCAATATTCACTGTGCAAACGAATCTGAAAAAGATCTTACAACCGGTGAACTTTATTTTAAAAGACAAAATATACATAAAGATTATTGGACAATCTCAAATTATATTGAAAATGAAGATAAGTATAAACATTTTTGTTAAAGATTGTCTTATTACGTTAGATTCAAAAAAAAACTTTTATTACTAACTATTGAATTTGAACAAGAATAAAAGAAGTTCTGGGTTTAATAATTGAATATGTTTGGTTGTATTTTGGTTTATTAATAATGAATACTATTTTTACTCCACTTTACGTATATCTATCTTTCTTTTATATATTCAAAATAAATTAATTCTTTGTATATTTAATAATTTATGAACTTCATACGATATTTAAACGTTGATAAACTCGTGACCAATATTTAATAAACCATTAAAAACTTGAGGATTGGAAGGAAACTATAAGGCTATAAGTTGTAAGCCTGAATTTTCGGATATTAAAAATTTATATGGTGAAAACATAAACGTAGTATAATGTTTAGCTTTTGTTAAAAAATTTCTTTATTAAGAACTAGGATTGAATGAGATCTATTCTTAATTTGAAATGACTTTATTATATACTACTTCATATTTGTCCTTTATAATAAATAATATTTTAAAGGTTTATGATAAATTACTGAATAAAATAGTCAATGAATTAATTTTACAAGGTTCACAAGATTAACGAATCAAACAATATTTAGGCAATTAATTTGATAAAGATAAAAACAGTAAATAATAATAAAAAGGTAAAAGAATTTGGAGAGTTGTTCACAGCAGCACTAGTATTTGTAGTTGGTTTGATTGAAGAACATTGAAGGGAATTGCTCTAAACACATTAAATAGATAATTATAATTAGAATAATTAGAATTAAAATAATTAAAATAGAAAATTTGAATACATAATTAATAATAAACATACCGTTAAAGCAGCCGATACATCAGAACAATTATTGGAGGTCTCAGTTTTTATAGGTTCGCCTTTAGCGACGTTTCTTAACCAAACTCTCTTATAATCTTTTGTAGGTAAATTAGGATTAACGACATTCATCATGTCTTCCAAAACACCATCAGCAAATAAAACAGCGCTTTCAAACCAATCCCTTCCATCACTTGGACTAGTCACACCATCTTCTCTGTAAATAGCACTATTTTTAACAAATTTATATTGCACATCATTACTATTTAGATTAAAGTTGGAATAAACTTCGGAAATATCGCGAGCAATAAAACTTTCATCAATCAAAATATCAACATTTGCGATAGCAGAAAGGAAAGAGGAGCTCGTAGAATACATAAGTGTGGTAGTATTAAAATAAATGCCACCAGCATTCTCGGTCAAAATTTTTTTATAAGGAGCATCAGCAATTACCCAAGAAGCAGTATTATTATTAAAAGTCGATGGAGCATTGTAGGAAACCCAAGCCACTGTAGGAGGATTGCTAGAAGAGGGTAATTTTTTTAAACAGTTGTAATTGTCACTTATTTGATTATAAATCGAGTTAGCTTTGTCTTCAAGGTTGAAAAAAGCGGCATAAAATTTTATCCATTCTGCTCTGTTAAGTGGACCAGGATCAGAAACGGCAGAAATACCGATTGTTTTTGGATCGGAAAGATTGAACATTGAATCGAATACGGCATCAACTTTTGAAAGTTGTTCACTTTTAAGAGTCATGTTGCTCGAAGAAATTATAGTCAACTTAGAACTAAGAGCCTGAAGGCAAGGTGAAGATACAAAAGAAGACCCTAATTCGGTGATATGGGATCTAAGACCAAGAGCCTGAAAATTCATCAAAGAATTTATTAATTGATTAATTGGCTAATTAATATTGAAGGATTATAGAATATGTATAATTTTCATACCTCAAGAAAAGGTACAGCACTGGTGTCCATGATGGCGACATTATTGAGAGATATATTAAAGACTTTTGTACCGGAGGGTAAACCAGTTGGGACAGGAGTTCCACATTGAACAAGAGCAAAAGTTTCTTTGGAATCAGTGTTTGTGATAAGTTTATAATTGTTATTATACTTTATAGTGAATAAAGAAGCGGTGGTAACTATTTAAGGGAATTAATAAAAGAAATAAAATTAATAACAAGGTCATTCATTTCTTTTTATTTAGTACTAAAAGGTATCATTTGTAATTTAATAATTACCGGTAACCTTGGAAGGAAAATAGTCGACATCACTACTAAAGGTTTGCACGCAATTTCCAGGTGACAAATTTTCAGCAGCATCATTACTTTTGACTATAAGAAACAAGAATATAAAAATTCGAATTAATCGAACGTAAAACTTATTATAATCAGACATTCTGTAAACCATGCAAGAGTAAGATACAATCATTGATTTCAATGCATTTATGATATTTTATCCTGCGTAACCATTTGTATGCTAGCGCAAATTTTATTCCATGTACGTACGTACATATGCATATGTTTATTTGTTACAATAATTTAACTATCATAAAATTCAGTTTATTTGTATATATATACAACATGTGAGTAGGTTATTACGGAATTAGCATCACGTTAGGTGATCAATTTTTTTTTCTCATCAGATGCACAAATCAAATTACAAATTTTTAGCTTGGTTAGACAATCTCTTTTTTAGAAGTATGTACGCACTTACTAACTCTCGAATAGTTATGAATGTAAACATCTTTAGATATATACTTACCTTTACACTGTCAAATTGAGATCTTTTCTTAGCATAAATTCTTGTTTTTTTGCTTTACGTAATCAACTTTTTTTATCAACGGGATTACAACATGATCATGATTTTACCTGTCCATTTTTGGTAAAGTAATAAATTTTATGTTACATATTAAGAAAAAGATATTTGTAAATATTTAATATTTGTTAAGCCTTCATTACTAATATACGTATTACAACTTAATTACATCCAATAACTTTATAGTAACAAGACTTTCACCGTTTGTCAGCAGGATATGTAGAGTCTTCATGTCTCTGAGTAAATAATTCATAATCATAATTTATATTTAAACGTTTTTGATAAATTTGATGAACTTTATTTTCAAATAATTACGAATTTTTAGTTTCCATATAATTAAGCAAACATAAATTTTTTATTCGGTGTAAAGCGGGATTTAATAGACCAAAATTTTGTGCGTACTATGTCCATTTCTATTTATAGGTTAGGCATTGCTATTTGTAGGTTAGGCGATTGCCTGCATTTAACCAATAGAAACCTACGGGGACCGGACCGACCTTAAACATTTTCCAAAAACAGAATATAAATACGAGCCAAATTAAGTTGTCACATGTAGTGAGCCTACGCAAGTCCTTATATACATGTATCTATTTCTACCTATATATCATGATATATAATTGTGTTTTTAAAATATCTAAAAAGTGTTCATGTTTCTAACGAATTAATTTTAACCATTACTTCAGAAATACTATATGGATAATATATAATTATCGGACACGAAGCGGTCAGTAATGAAAATTAAAAGTTCGTAACCAGATTAACTTAACAAAATATTTGCTGCGTAACATTATGATAACGGTATTATCCGGAAACCCTCAAGTTCTGATTGGACGTCTTTGATTAGATAAAATAGATTATGCCACTCTTAGCAAAAATTCAAGAGATATATATATTTGTCAGCGAAACGGCCTTTATCATTACCGTTATTGTTGAATAATAATTAAGTAATTCAGTCTCTGTTACAAAGATTTCACAAAATTTAAAGTTCACTATTATCGTTATGCGACATTGAAAAAGTAGACATACGTACGTACGTTCAGTACGTACGTATGTACGTAAGATAACTACACAACATTGTTGCACTTAAACTAGTAATGTAATATGATCACGAGACTCGTGTTAAGAAGTTAAGCGTAGCGATGAATCTTCTAATATTCGTAAAAAAAAACAAAAAAAAATAGTATCTAATTATCATATATAATAGATTTCAAATTAATGTTGCTAATTTATTCGAAAGTAGCAATAATAAATACTTATGTCATTTGAATCTAAAAAAAAAAAAAATTTAACTCATTATTCAAAATTTTAGTAATGAAATGGTAGCTATGCATCACTCATGATTATATGATCCATTATATAATAAATTTGTCTTTCGAGCTTTATCATTACTAGATCGTTCTAGCAGGGTATTTTTTCAAATTTTGATAATTAGATTTCATGTGTTTTTCTCATGTGATATTTTGATAACTAGATTTCATGTGTTTTTCTCATGTGATATGTAAAGTACCGGCATTACAAAAGTTTGGTCAGTATTAATTTCGTTGTTTAATTCCACCATCTGGCATTTAAAAATTTACCGAAACTTGCATAAAGTTAATTTTTATTTTTATAATTTATTTTTTATTTTATGATTTTTACTAGCACCTATGGTGTTTTACACCTAACTAGAGATGAGCATTCTGCATTATGTGCATTACATTATGCAAAACATAATGTCGCATAATGTAATGTAGATATTTTAAAATTTAAAAGTGCACATAGAAATTACTATATAATTTTAATGCAACAAAAATTAATAAAATATTCATATATAATACTAAGTGATATGTATATCAGTTGGTGATTTCGTACCTGTATAAAGTAGGCTAACTAATATGAGGTTTGAAAATAGTAAACTTCTGTCTAGAGATAAAAAGATTATGTATGAATATTGCTTCTTGATTTTGGTATAACACCATGATTGATAATGTCACATGTTGCGTTATGCTGCATTATGCAATGCAGAGCCAAAAAAATATGCATTCGCACATCTCTACACCTAACTCTAATGTGAAAAATTTGTGATAAAAATTTTATACACAAAATTTATAAAAACTTGGAAAAATAATGAAAACATATAATAGCGACAGATGTAAAACATCGTAGGTGCGTTTTATACTAACAGATAACCATTACGTTATACGTCAAGCTTCCAGAGTAGTTTGGGTAAGTAATTACAGAACCACTAAATTTTTACTCATAAATCAATTATTGTAGAATTAATGTCCACACTAGAGTTGCTGGTGAAACTGGTGAAACTTGGTGAAACTTGGTGAAACTGGTGACTATCTAAAATCTGATTGGCTATTAAATGCAATAACCAATCAGATTTTAGATAGTCACCAGTTTCACCAGTGTGATTTAGTTTCACCTGCAGCTCTAGTCCACACCTTTTTGTAAAGTTTGCATGACATCATAGCAATAAACTGGCCAAGCACACAGCATTTGATTTAAGTTTTTAAAAGAATAGATAAGCAATACAACTTTGACACTATATTTAATCCATTCTTATAACTCTTAAAAGGTACAAAAAAATCAACTTTAAATATTAAGCAAAAGCAAATAATCCCTTTATATAATCAAAATTACATATTATTAATTAAAATCTTATATATTCGAATTTAATTACAATATTTGAATTTTTTTAAAATTAATTCTAAAAATCTGTAATCGTCCATTTTAAATTGATAATCTTTTTCGTAATAAGTTCCTGCAATGTCTTTATTTGTAGAGGTCCATCTTTTTACAAACTGCAATAAATAAAATCAATTCCTAGCCGTTGCGTAGCAAATAATAATTCTGAATAAGAAGATCGATTCCATTAAATTTGTTTTTCAAGATCGTATTTTTAAATTGGTCACTAAATCTATTTTGCGATATAATTGCTTGTAACAAATAGAATGCATCCATGCCATTTCAAGTATTGCAAATTTTTCGATAGTGGCGAGTCATATTTTAAATTTGTAACAGTGATTTTTTCTTCATCTCTTATTCGGCACACAAGCATGGGCGAGAATAACCTTTTGTCATTGACTCAAATTCGATCTATTCCATCCAGGGAAATTGAGAAGTTCGCCAAAAACACTCTAAATAATTCATGTATTTAAAACTATCAGTGTGTGCTCATGTCTTCAGATTGATTGACTGTCATTAATTCAGAACTTATGTGAGGCCAATTTAAATTCGCAACCTTCATTCATCAATAAAACTATTGGAGTGTGCTTCATGTCTTCAGATTGGTTGATTGTATTATACTGCCATGATATAGATCATTTGATGCAGAGCTTGTGTGAGAGGCCAATTTAAATATTCGCAATCTTCATTTATATGTGTATTTCTTTTCA